ACTCTGATGCTGGGGGCAATGGAGGGGAAGAGGAAAAAAGGAATTGGGATGTGTTATGTACATATACCAACTCCCCGTAATTAATGTAGGGCAAGAAAAGGAGTGAGAGAAGACTCTGGGGTCTCTTTAAAAAAGGCACTAATATCATTCATCAAGTCTCAACTCTCGACCTAATCACTTCCCAAAGGCTCTCACCTCCTAACACCATCATACTGAGGTTTAGGATTTTAGTTTATGAACTGGGGAGGGAATCAAACATCCAGTTTGTGGACTATGTATGAATGTATTCCCCTAAGTATGTTAGAGATGATAAAAATCAAACAGAAACACCCAGTGACCACATACTGGAAGCCTTAAGTCAACTTGACTTTCTTAGCATTTAGAAATTGGTGGTTTGTGTATATGTTACAGTTTTGAATCTGTCTTCAAAACTGATTTTTAAAAATTGGTATCAATAAATAGAGAAGTTTGTAATGACATACTGTGTTAGTTTCCTGGGGCTGCTCTAACAAATTTCCCCAAACTCTGTGACTTCAAAAACAGGCATTTATTCTCTCACAGTTCTGGAGGCTGTAAGTCTGAAACCAAGGTGTCAGAAGACCTATGACTTCTCTGAAGGCTTTAGGGAAGGTTCCTTTTGGCCTCTTTTCAGCTTCTGGTGGCTGCTGGCAATCTTTGGTACTCTTTAGCTTCCAGGCACATCACTCCAATCTCTCCTCCATCATCACATAGTGCTCTCCCCTGCATCTACTTGCTCTGCATCATCACAAGGTGTTCTCTTCTTTGTATGTGTCCGCATTCAAATTTCCCTCTTCTTTTAGGACTCCAGTAATTGGATTAGGGCCCACTGCAATACACTGTGACCTCATCTTAAATTGATTATATCTTCAAAGATGCTATTTCCAAGTTAGGTCACACTCACAGGTACCAGAGGTTATACGTATCTTTTAGGGATACACAATTCAACCTACAATAGTCCATCCTATGGTACCCCCAAATTCATGACTTTCTTGTGTGAAAATATATTCACTTCATCCCAATATCCCATTCTAGACAACCCATTCTAGCATCAACTCTTAAGTCCAAAATCTTATCTTGTGAGTAACCTAAATCAGGTATGAGTGACACTATGGGTACGGTCCTTTCTCAGACAGAGTTGTTCTCTCTCTCATATAAAACCTACAAACAAATTTTCTGCTTCTAAAGTAAAATACTCAAAGTGGCATAGGATAGAGATTCCCATTCTGAAATGGATAAAATAGAAAGGACAAAAGGGTTACCGGTCTAAAGAAAGTTGATAACCCATAAAGCAAATTCCATGAGGTTTCCTGGACTGAGAATAATTATCTTCAGCTTGATGTTCCCTGGCTCCACCCTCTTAGCCCATCTGAGTGACATCCACTGTTAGTAACCAAGGAAGTGGCCCCAACTTCTGAACCCAGGAGGCAATTCTACCCTCTCGAACCAAAAAGAAGTGGCCTTGGATTAGGCCCACACTCCTGCAGTGGCAGTAGCAACACTTCTGGCCTTTTATCCTCTCTCAGCAGTCCCACTGGCCTTTGAGCCACCCTGGAAAGTCGTTCTTCCATTTTCCTGAAGCGTAACACAAGTTCACAGCTGAATACCTTTATTAGTCTGTTTTGTGATATAGAATTTCAGAAGTCTGGCAAGCTTCATTCTTTTTGTTCTGTGTCGGTCCTTTTCAGTCCATGATGACAGTGTTGGGTCTACACTTAATCGCTCTTGAAAAAGTTTGTCCAGCCACACCTTTGATGTTCTCTCCAGAGCACATTTTCTTGTGTTTTGAAACATGGATAGGCTGATAATTTTCCAAATATTTAAGTTCTGGTGATTTTTCAGTTAATAGCTCTGTTACGGACTGAATTGTACCCTACTTTCACCCCCAAATTCATGGGTTGAAGCCTTAGCCTCCAACATGACTGCATTTGGAGATAGATTTGTAGTTGGTAATTAAGGTTGAATGAAGTCTCATAAAAGTGGAGTCCTAATCCAATAGGACTGATGGCCTCTGAGGAGGCAAAGAGATCTTTCTCTTTTTCCATATGCATGAATTAAGGAAAGGTCTTGTTAATATACAGTGGGAAAGTGGCCATCTCTAAGCCAGTAAGAGAGCCCTCACCAGAAACTAAATTTGCTGACACTTAGCTCTTGGACATCTCAGCTCTAAATTGTGAGAAAACAGATTCTGCAGTATTTTGTTATAGAAGTCTGGGTATACTAACAAGTTCCTTTCTCAATGTATCTCTTTTGCTTGTATTTTACTGTAAACAGCAGAGAGGAATGAAGTTGCACTTCCATACTTTGCTTGGAAATTTCCTCTGCTAAATATCCAAGTTTTTTACTTACACATTATAATTTCAACCCATCAGTAGCATGAAATTCAGGCAGTTGTTTATCACTCCATTAAAAAGATTCACCTTTCTGCCAGTCTCCTCTAATGTTTCTCCTTTCTATCTGAAACCTCACCAGAAGTCCCTTTAATATTCATATTTCTAGCAACATTCTGTTCAAGGTAATCAAAGCCTTTTATATCATATGCCTCAAAATTCATATAGCTTTTACCATTACACAATTAAAAGTCATTCCCTTATTTTTAGATATCTGTTACAGAAACATCTATATTGCAGTACCAAAATCTATATTAGTTTCCTAGGGGTGCTCTAACAAACAACCACAAATTGAGTGTCTTAAAAATAATAACTAATTCTCTCACATTTCTGGAGTATAGAAGTCTGAATTCAAGGTTTTGGAAGGGTCATGATCTCTCTAGAGGCCCTAGAAGAGAACCAGTTTTTACTTTTTCTACCTTCTGGTGATTATAGACATTCTTTGGCTTGCAGATGCATCAGCCCGATCTCTACCCTCACTGTAGCATGCTGTTCTCTCCTGTGTCTGTGTGCTCTGTATATTCACAAGGTTTTCCTTCTGTAAGTTACTGTGTCCATCTTTCCTTCTTATAAGGATACCAATCATTGGATTAGGGCCTACTCTAATCCAACATGACCTCATCTTAACCAGATTAAAGAACTTATTTCCAAATAAAGTCGCATTCTAGGACTTGAACATATTTTATGGGGTGCACAATTCAATTCACTATACATACTCATCCAGGGTTGGATGCATCATAGTTTCCTTATATAATAAGATGTGCATAAGAAAGATAAATTCCATCTCAACTGTTGAACCTAAGTAATGTCCATTAAATATGTTCCTTTATATTCTGTAGCAAATTGAGCCATGAAATTTAATTCTACCCAGGCAGTCCTGCATTTCTACCACTTGGTCCTATAGAACTTTGTACATTCTTGAAGAGTTCACTGGTCATTCTATGCTGGAGTGATCTGTTTTAGAATTTGTCTCCTCTTAGAATATGAGCTTCTTGAGGGCAACAATGGTGGCTTATTCATCTTTGCAGCTCCAGTGCTTAGTATGTTACCTAATATACAGTTGGCTCCTAATAATTATTGGAGGAGAGATGGACATTGGAAGGAAGAAAGATTTTCATAGAGTTGCAATCTAGTGGCTTGGAGAAGGTGTTGGGAACTTAAGGTGCAAAAACCAACACTACATCACTTTGTTGGAACTCTCTACCTTCCATTCTGATTTTCCTAGAGGTTTTCAGGGTCTCAATATACAAAAAACTTCAATCACAAAGAAATTTCAGGCCATTACTTGATGAGCTTTTAGCTTATCAGAATGGCTTTTCCTTCCACAACCTTCCAGGTCAATCCAGCAGTAGCTTAGCATATGGCCACCAGGCAGGGATTAAGAAAGCGCTCAGGGAGTGTTTTGAATGATTAATTATTGCAAATAGATCAAGGTTGAATACTTAATGTGTCAGATCCCTCAATAGCTCTCCCTCTAATGGACCACTATCAGCTGACGTTAGGGAGAATATATAGTTCTTTTTAGTCTTGTCATACCTTTACACATTCAACCCATTATAATGTCAAGAATAAAAAGGTGTATATACAAATGCCTATGTTTGAACTCTAGTGGAAAGTAGTGAAGGAAAAAATCAGATATTCACAGGAATTAGAGAAAAAAATAGAAAAACCCTTAGCAGGTATATACAAAACAAACGGAGGTTTTCAGTGTCCACCCCTCCTTCTCCTTTCAGAACACAAACAATTATTAGTACACCCAGTGCTTTTCCCACAATTATGAGACTCAGGCTGTGATATACAAATGCAGTATTCATAGGCAGGTTAACGGTAATGTCAAATTCATCACCATGAAAGAGGACAACAAAATGTCACTTTGTCTTATTCATCATTATGTCCCAAGTGTTCTGAAAAGTGCCAAGGGTACAGTAGTTATTATGTAAATATTTGCTTAATGAAATATTAAATGAACTAAGTTGATGAACCAGGAAATTTCCATAGGCAGTCAGAGCATGGTATTCAGAAAAGAATACTTGAACAAAAAGCTTTTGAGATAAAGAGTTAAAGCAACTTTAACTGTTGCCCAGATAAAGTGATGCTCTTCTCATCTGGAAGCAACAGGGCCAGGAAAGGGAGTGTATCTCTCCAGGAGGTAGTGACAAGTATTTCTTAGCCTAGAGTCAGACCCTTACCTCCTCCGTTTCTTCCCTGGCCAGAGCATTTGGATATCAATGAATTTCCAACTCACCATCTCCTTTGGCTTTCTACTTAAAGAGGGCCAAGGCCACGACTAAAAGAACAAATGTTGCTTGGATTAAACCAATATAGTGACTCCCCAAGCAATAAAATGATCATTGCTCCTGCCTTCAGCTCCTATTTTAGGATCTGAAACTCTATTTAATAATTTTCCCTTTCTAAAACCACTAACAAAATAAAACAAAAAATTGGTATTGGCTATAACTTTCAGTCATCCCCTTCACATGCTCTGACACCTACGTAGCAGGCTATTTTAGCCTTAGCACCAGATTTTCTAGCTTTCCTTAACCCATCTCTATGATTAACCCTCCATTTTCTCTTCTCTTTGATTTATTTTAGATACCAGCGGCAGAAAACAACCCCTTCCTTGTTGGAATGCACTATTGGTATTCCAGCCACAGTCTCCATACTCAGCACTGCAATATTTGTCGAGAGAGCATTCCTGCCTTATCAAGAGATGCCATTATCTGTGAAGGTAGCTTCCTTATTCTTTTATAAAGGAACGCAGTGGGTAGAGATAGGGGTGAAGGAGCTCATGTGGTTTTAGTATCATTGACATTCTAGGTCACTGACTCTGGTGGGAAGTTAACCCTGCCCAAGGAAAAGAAAAGAGAGGAGTTAATATCAATGAAAGTAGAGGGTTAGGAGGGTAATATGCTTACAAGGGTTCAAATGACAGAAATCATGCCATTCTTACCAATGATTTCCATTCAAGTTGGATAACAGAAAGTTTAGCTGCTAAGAATCAAAAGAAACTAGCTCATATTGGAATAGGTTTTTGGATGTGGATCAGAACTATTTAGAGTGCCTCTGAGTTTTAACACTCAGAGCAGCATAAAGAAGAAAATTAGAATCTTCACTGTCACCAGATTCACACTCATCCTTTTTCTTTCTCTTCTTACAGTGTGTAAAGTGAGATCTCACAAATTATGTGCTTTGAGGGCAAGCAAAGACTGCAAATGGAATACTTTGTCCATCACTGATGACCTTTTCCTGCCTGCAGATGAAATAGTAAGTTCCAGCTAGACGCTTCTACAGTCACCCCCTCCCATGACCCTTTCAGGCATATCACACGGGAATAGGAAGACTTCTTCCTGTCACCAGACAAGCAAAGTAGGCCTCTTCTCCAGGTTCACAATCCAACCAATCTCAAATAATGAAATGCCCCCCACACACACACTTTCACACCTGTCATTGGCCACTACATTAGAGTGAGGAGAGCAAGATCATGAAGAACTTGGGGCTTTTACCTAATGTCCTCCATGGGATAGTGTAGTTATTCCAGTTGGTCTTTCCTTCTTTCTTTATATTGCTAACTTGTACCTTTTGTCTCTTTTTTCTCCTTTAGCAAACCATGCCCCATCAATGGGTAGAGGGCAACATGCCTGTAAGCTCTCAATGTGCAGTATGTCATAAGAGCTGTGGCAGTTATCAAAGACTTCAAGATTTCCGCTGCCTGTGGTGTAATTCTACGGTAAGACTCTTCCCATCTCCCTGCCATTTAAAGAACTTGACTTCTAGAAGAGAGAGGTGGAGCTTGACTGTGCATACACATAGAGAGAAATCTCAAGTGGTCCTTATTCCAAAATATACAGATTCCACAGTCTAGATCTTAGTATCCTGCCCTTTCAAATCTGACTATGGAGACTTTGGGAGAAAAAGATTTAAGATGCTCATATCTGACAGTTCCTAATTGATGAAACCTTCTAGTGAATGGGAAAAAGCTAAACTCTCTAATGGAAGTATAAGCCATTAAAAAATAAATTCTGAATCTGTCCTTAAAAGATTTTCTCATTTCTTCATTCACAATTTCCTAGGAACTTTTCATCTTTATAAATGAATAATAGTTAAGGATATTAACAAATTATTTTCACTATGGATTGAATTGAATGTTTTATATATATTATTTCACTTAATCCTTACAACAACCTTAAATGAGATCTTACTGTCCCCATTTTACAAATAAGAAATGTGAGGTTCGGGAAGGAATTTGCCCAAGGTCATGCAGCCAGCAAACAAGACTGTCTTGATTCATTCATAATTCTTCAAAGATCATGCTGCTAACTACAACCCTACCAAGCCTCTAAATCTGGTCCTCAACTGGAAACAATTTGCCCCAATTGGCCCAAAATATCAATAACACTGAGGCTGAGAGACAGTGGTCAGGGCCCGAATCTAGTCTTTCTAGCCTTTTAGATGCTTCTGTCAAACTGAGTTTTCTAAGACAAGAAGAAACTGAACTTCTTTGTTGAAAACTCTTTGCTCCCTGTCTCTCTTACAATTGCTTCGAATAACAAGGCCAAAATGACAGTTTCTTCTAGAAACTGTGCAATTGCCCAGGAAGTGGTGCTTGAAGATATAAAAAAATCTGGGAAGAATGGTCACTTTAGGGGAAGTCAGCTTTGCCACTTCCCAGCTATCTGACCTTAGGGAAGCCCCTTTAACTTTGTGAGTTTTGCTATGCTTGTTTCTAAAATAAACCCAATGTCTTTTCCTCCACACCTAGTTGCTGTAAGGATTAAAGTGTATTGGCAGATTCTTAGGATTAGTACTCTTATACTGCAAGTAAGACTCCCATTCTGCAGGCTACTCAGATTTGTGTTCTAGAACTGGTGACTTCTGAGTCCCTTTAGAAAGGTATTTACTGAAAGCTACTTTAAAGGATCAGGGTTCTACACACTCAGAGACAGGGCAGTTTCAGGGTGGAATGGGGGTAGCCAGGTGAGTTAGGGGTATGTATATAGAAGCACATCTCAGAAAGAGATATTTAAATGTTAAGATGTAATTCTTAGAATTGGAACTCAAAACTAATCAACATTATCTTTTTCTCCCCCCCATCCCTTGTCTTTCTGTTCTGTTCTTGTCGTTTCAGGTGCATGGTGACTGCTGCAGACGGTTTTCCAAGGAATGTGTCTTTGGAAGTTACCGTTCATCAACCGTCCCTCCTACTGCTCTCAGCGACCCCAAAGGTGATGGTGAGTAGCTAAAATTTAACTTCAGAAAAACAGTGAGGAGGGAGAGAGGGAAGGTACAAAGATTGGAAAAGGGGCTGAAATTATTCTCCTCAATGTGTCAAATATTTGGTGGGAGGGTTGCATGCATAAACAGCTCATGGTTTTCTTTAGAAGTTTGGGTTGGTGAATGTTGGTCTTCCTGATGTATATGTATGTGGGCATATACTCTGTAGCCTCTGTCACAGCTTATTTCAGCTGATCAGAATTGATTTTAGCATTTTAAAGATTTTCAAACAATAGACTGTGCATAAAATGAGTTTGTGTGTATCTAGGTGGTCAAAAGGCCTGGAGTTATATTACTGGAAACTAATACCAAAGTTGTTTCCAAATCTGAAACTAATGTGATCATTGCCCCAACATGCTTCAATGATGCTTTGTCAATTCCTGAGCAATAGTGATTTGTTGAGAGCTCTACTTACAAGCAGCTTAAAGGCTGCAGAGAGGTCTAAGATAAAGCATTGCCAGAGCAAAAGATTATTATGGATACAGGATCTTGATACAATACAATAACTAACAATTTAATGTTACATTTGCTAAGTGCCAAAGGAATGGTAGGGACACTTGCAAATGAAAGTGTTAGAAATCTTAACCGTTTGTAGGAAGTTGAGCAGAAAGAAGGTAGTAATGAAATCAATGAGCAAGAATAAACTGCATTGTATCAAGAGGTCTAGCAATGTTAGAACAGAGAAAGCAGAGGCAAAGAAGGAAAGTGTTTGTTTAGCTTCTGCATTTGTTTTTAAAGTACAGATAAAACACATAAGCAGCATAAAACAAAACAAAAAAATCCAAAAGCTATACAATTATGAGTTTTAGTCACTTTCTAGCTAGGTGACATTAGGTAAGTCACATTCGATGAGCTCTTCTTTCTCTGTCTATAAAAGGAAATGAAGCTTTTAACTGTGAAGATAAATTATAATATGTAAAGGGACTAAGTAGCTAGAAGTATAGTCCAAAAGGAACACAAAACTAAATTCCTGGTCTTCTTGGATACTAAATGCCAAGTCTCTTAACCTAATGAAAACTAGACTCCCTTGGGGATAATTTTTGAGTTCAGTTCTTCCCTACATCTTTGCTTCTTCAAAGATGAGTCTCTTCTTTCTACCATCAAGTTGTTCATATGCTTCACTCATTACTCATTTTTAAAGAGTGGGATCAGTCAACATTAAAATCAAATATCATATCTAAAAAGGCCTGACCTATTTTTACTACCACTAAGAAATTGAGAAATCTAATATATATATATATTACTGACATGCTACCATTTCACTAAGCCTGGGAAGAGAGACAGTGCTCATTAATTTCAGTTTGCATATGGTTAGTTTCACTCTATATGTGGTCAATTTCACTTACCGGATTAAAGCTCAAATCTTTTAAAAAATATTTTAAAATATACTAATTTACCCACTTCTGACATGAAGAAAGTCCACTGGTCCAAGAGTGATTAGTGAACCAACATTTCATTCACTTAAAAATTATTCCCAAAGTAATGTCACTCACTTCATCACCAAGAAAGATCCAGCATTTGCTGGAAATAAAGAAATGAAAAAGAAGAAAAGTAGATGGTTTCCTTAGAGAACAAAAAGGGGCAAGGATTCCTGTAGTCATGACAACAGTTATAGACTCAGACATAGCATATGCCTATCTGTGTATTCATATACATTCATACACACACACGCGTGCGCGCACACACACACACGTCTATTCCAGTTCTTTTTCTAACTCTAGTGCAGATACAGATAATCCTTAGTGCATGGAATCAGCCATTCACATCGTTTCTGTAAGTTTCACTGTTTAATACGAAAGCAAAATAGTGCAGTGCAGTAGTTGTCTAACATGAGCATGCATCAGATTTATCTGCAAGGCTGAGCTGGAGATGTAGCTCAGTGGCAGAGTGCTTGCCTAGCATATGTGAGGCGCTGGGCTCAATCCTCCGGAATATCAAATAAAAAAGTGATCTGGAAAGCTTTAAAAAAGTACGGATTTCTGGGCCCTACATTCGGGACTTTTGATTCAGTAGACTATGTGGGGCCCAAGAATTTGCACTACTAGAATTTGCATTCGATAGGGCATGCTCCATCATTTACTTTATGGCTCTAGACAAGTTATTTAACCTCTTTATGCCCCGTTTGTTATTACTTTCTGCCAATAAGTAATGGCAGTTTTAAATTCGCTAACATTTATCGAAAAGGATTTTAAAATATAGAAAGGTGAAGAGTAAGCCAACCTTATGCCAATTTAGCATTCTTCTATAAAGTGAACAGAACAAATTTGAGAGGGGTCTATTAATTCCCTAGTTTAGGGCACTGTGGTTGTATTAATGCAGCTCAAAGAAACATGAATTTTTTTTAAAAGTTCTTCAGGCTGTTGACTCATCTGGAGCTTAAAGTCAGCTAAATCACCTAAGCTCCTTTCATACCGAATGCTGCCAAACCAAGTCCCTATTATCCTGTTCTAGTACAATTTATGTACTTGAGCGTAAAGGCCAAGATTTGCACTTATTTCCTTTACATTTCATTTGCTGACTTTCATTCATACATTTTCTAATATGATTCTGTCAATTAGTAGCTCTTCCTCCAGCTTTGGGTACTTCAAAGTTCACAAGCCAGGCTTCCATGCTTCCATCTGAACTGAATAAAATTGTGACATAGTACAGGATCCTCTCTTAGGATTAACATCAGCCTTCTCAAAGGCAAACCTGTGGGCAGGGTTGGTTACCTGGTTATGAACCCAAGAGACATCATTACATTCCAGCTGACAGTGATACCTATTTTTGCCACTCATTCCCAAGATTCTCTTGACCAATGTGGCCTTGCTCAAATTTAGATGCTTATTGCCTCTGGGAGAAATGGCAGATAGGGCTGTCCCTATATTCTCCTGAGACTGGCTTCCTGCTGGCACTGATTCCTATGTCATCATCTGTGTCAAAATGAGCTTTGACACTGAAGTTCAGGTGCCTTAATTACAGAATTTTCTCTTTATGAGTGGTTTCCGTCCCCACTTCGTTTTATTTTATTAATCATTGCAACATGCTCCTACTATACCTATGGAGAGATGAACCCCCAGAGAAGTTAAGATGTTTGCTCTAGGTTAGTAAATAAACCTGAAGGTCAAAAAGCTATAGGACACAGCTGCATCCTCTTGTACAAGCACACCACAGAAGGCAGCCTGTGCTCCAAACTGCCAAATGAATTTTGAAAGTATTTTGGCTACATGCTCATGGCTATTTAACTTACAGATAGTACTAGCATAAGTCTCTTTTTCTTATTTCTTAATTTAATTCTTGACTGGTTAATATATTCACATAGTACAATATTTTTTGAAAAAAATGCACACATACTATTAAAAGAAATCTTGCCACTATTCTTCCTCTGATCCTCTCAATCTCCTACAGTCCCCTGAGTTTACATTCTTTGGTTGAGAGGGGAGCAAGAACATAAAAAATACTACTTTATATATCCTATGGGCTGACCCTAAAGATTCACTGGGTCGTCTCAGCTTGATGTCAATTTATCTGACCTCATCTTCTGCCACTCTCCCCACCACTCACTCCTCTACAACAGCTGTGCCAGTGAAGAGGCTGGGGCCTTCAAACACCCCAGGCTCCCTTTTCAGGGTCTCATCCTTGCCCAAACGCCCCCCACCCCCACCCCAGATATCTGCATTGCTGATTCCCTCACCTCATGAATCTCATCTTGCATGTAATCTTCCCAGAGAAGGATCCTTGAAGACTCATCTAAATAACAATCTCTGTCTTTTTGCCTGGCTTTATTGTTCTTCACAGCACATTATTTTATATGTATTCATCATGGTCTATCTTCCTTTATCAAAACACGAGTTCCACAGGAGCAAAGACTGTTTCTATTTTGTCTACCACTATATTTTCCAAGAACATAAAAAAGGACAGGCACAGCCAGGCATGGTGGTGCATGCTTATAATCCCAGCTATTCAGGAGGCTGAGGCAGGAGGATCATGAGTTTAAGGACTGCCTGGGAAACTTAGCAAAACTCTGTCTCGAAAAAAGGTGGGGATATAGTCAGTCAGCACTCCCTGGGTTCAATCCCCAGTACATACATACATACATACATACATACATGACAGGCACAGAGAATGTCCTCAATACATATTTGTTGAATGAATAAATGAGTATGTTGGAACTACCATTGTGTCAACATATTATCTTTTGTTTAAAAATGCTAATAGAGGGGCCATGGATTTAGCTCAGTGGTTTCGCCTCCTGCTGCACAAGCGCAAGGACCCGAGTTGGATTCCCGGTTCCAAAAAAAAAAAAAATGGTGATAGAAGTAGTACTTTTGTTCAGGGAAAGTAATTACTTCCAAGCTATATTATTTCAAGCTCCCCTGGCCAGAGAGTGGGAATTGGCCCATAGAGGAAACCTGTCTTAGTTTTTCCAGGCCAAATATTGAGGCTTCCTTTCACCCATGTTACACCAAATCTCAACCCATCCATCCCACTCAGGAGTGAGACACATGGTTTTTGTCCTATGGATTTACTTTTGCTGAGGCATCCCTGGAAAGTCATGAGCTCAGAGAATTGGAGGCTAGCTATATGTCTAGCATCCCACTCCTAGGGGGCCTTTGTCATGGCCTGTCTTCCTGCCAACAGGCTTTAAGACTCAGCCTGAGATGGCAGTCTATGGCTATTTAGGCTGTCAAAACCCAGTTCTTTATGGATAATGTCAATGTTGGAGATTATTAAAAACCTCTTTCTTGTTCAGACAACTCCCTTATAGTCTTGTTTCCCCCTAGAAACTAAACTAAAATTGATTGCCCTATTAAAATATTAAAGAAATGATTAAAACTATTTTTTCACTCCACAGTGAAATATTGACAGCTTTTCCTTCCCTTCTGTCCTGACCTGGTGTCTTCTCACTGTGAGAACTGAGCTAGTCCTGGCAGAGAAAAGACTAATTAGGATGCTGGTCTTCTCCTGGACTCTCAATCCTCTCTTTCCTTAGCTTCTCCACAGAGTTTTACTAATCCTTGTTTGTGTCACCAATTTCTTTATTCCTTGTATTCCAACATACTCGTGTGTGTGTGTGTGTGTGTGTGTGTGTGTGTGTGTGTGTGTGTGTGGCCTCAGCTTGAGGACAGGGACTATAACTACTATTGAGTATGATATTTGGTATGTAATAGTTGCTCAGAAAGTATTGTTTGCCTAGAAACAGCTAGAAAAAGACTTTTAAATCCCTTTGAGTGATGTCATGACTTTCCTTCTGCCCCTCAATCTCAGAAGACTGGGCCTGATACTCAAAAAGTTCTTGCAAAATGTGATGCTACCTCATATTTTGTTTTCATTTCAATGACCTTCTTATCCTTCTCCTTCTCTTTCTTCTTCTTCTTCTTCTTTTTGCTGTGTGTATTAGGCCAATTAGTAGTGTCGTCAGACTTCTGGAACTGCGACTGGTCATCTGCCTGTTCATGCCCCTTGCTCATCTTCATCAACTCCAAAAGTGGCGATCATCAAGGAATCATCTTCCTCCGAAAATTCAAGCAATACCTTAACCCATCTCAAGTGTTTGACCTATCGAAGGGTGGACCTGAAGCAGGGTAAGCATAGTGTGAGAGATGTAGTTGGGTATGTAGAAGCAGCTCTTCCCTCCATATGTTCTTAACTAGGAATGGCTCCTGAAATCAGTCCTATAACCTGGGCAGGAAAGATCTATTTCTCAAGCCAGGACACAAACACATAACTCTAGAGCATTTGATTTGTCTGGTTGTAAGACTTTTCGCCCTCTTCCAGAAATCCCTTAGCTTACATCCTGCTCTCAAATTTACCTCACCTTTTTTCTGGTTGGAAGAGGTGAAATCATATGCTCTGACCTCAGAGGAAGAAGCAAACCAATATAGCTGCCACTCATTCTTTTTCCTGGGAATTCCTTCGCTATTATAAGCCTGTTTTATCTGGGGACCATCTGGCTGCTCAGTTTTGGTTCCTGTGAACCATTGGCCACATGAATGCAGGGCAATTCTTCCTGGGCTCCACCAAATGGATTTGACTGGGGATTTTTTATGACTTCTAGAGTAAGGTTGAGCACAAAAGAGTGCCAGTTGAGCCAAGGCCTGATCTCTGGGATCACCTGTGGGAAATTACCTATGGTTCTAGGTACAATAGAGATAGAAGCTAAGGGAGAAAAGGCAGGTATCCTGTTATCAGAATGCTAAATCAGCGGTTATTGGGTTCTGAAACACTGTAGGAGTTATATAACCCAGCTGTTCATGTAATGATGTTACCCCTTCTTCCTTCCAGGCTGTGCATGTTCAAGAACTTTGCTCGCTTTCGTGTTCTGGTTTGTGGTGGAGATGGCAGTGTGAGCTGGGTCCTGTCCCTGATTGATGCCTTTGGATTACAGGAGAGGGTAAGTCACTGGCTGACTCAGTTTAGACACTGATAGAAAGAGTAAGGGTGTGGAGCTGTTCATCCCATGAAGTACCAAGTCTTTACCCTCCCTGTCTATGAAATACATGTTTCTTATGGTTTTGATAACTAACCTGACCAATCTAAACCTGCTCACCCAGGCCATTTTCTGGTCATTTATCTGTATGAAGGAAAAATGAAGTAGTTGATTGAGAGAATGAGTAGTGCCCATTCTCCAGGCTTCAAAGTGAAGGGCTGATGGGGAAGAAAGCAAGCAATTTTTTTGAAGAGGCCATAAACAGCATGTAGCCTCTAAATTCCTTCCCCTCCTGATGCTACTGATTTTCCCACTGAGTCTCAAATGTGGCAGAATCTTTCCTCTAACAGTCTCCCATCTGTAGGCAGCCCTTGCTCTTCTAATTCCAATAGTTTTATCTTCTGAGGCACTACAGCTACTGGGCCCAGCCCAAATAGAAATTTGTAATTATATTTCTCTTTTGTAAACATGGTTATAACTTTTGGTATATTCTAACAACTTTTCTAAGTAAGTTTTTCATTGCTAAAAGAGAAGTCCAACTCTTTAGGGAAAATTTCACTCCACTTCAAAAATCCTCCTATTTACACTTCCTAGAATATGAAGTCTCTTACAACAACTGACTTTAAGACCATAATTCTTCCCAAAGAGCAGCTTCTGGGTTCTTTCATGAGTAAAGCTTAGTAGAATGACTGTCTGAAACAGGTACCTCCTTTTTGTTCTTGCAGTGTCAGCTGGCAGTCATCCCACTTGGAACTGGCAATGATCTGGCCCGTGTCCTGGGTTGGGGTGCATCCTGGGAGAAAAACAAATCACCGCTGGACATCCTCAACAGAGTAGAGCAGGCGAGCATGAAAATTCTAGACAGGTGAGTCACCAAAAAAACCAAATTCTCTTGCCTCTTCCACCCCCATACCAATTACTCCCAGTTACATCATCTCAATCAGGAATACTCAACCTCTCTCTCAGGGCCCCATTTCTTTTCTGGTTTCAGTGCAGGGCAGTTTGCAGACCCTGGTTTTTTGAAAAGCCAATGAATGATCTGCCACCTTCAAATATCACTAAAGCTCTTCTTCAAACCTAAAAGATCCTGTAGTAGGGGCCCCATGGAAAAATGTCAAGGGTTCTGTGAGCTTCTTTCAAATTCCAGTCACTTATCTATGTAAGCAGAGTTTTTTCTTGGTAAGGAGTGTATGATGTCATCAGAGTCTCAAGAAACTTTTAATACGGAGAAAGTTCAGCCCCAGTTGGCTTACATTATCTCTGCTCTATAGAAGACAGAGTACTGCCATTCTATCTCCTGAAGGGAAAAGGAAAAGACTTTCTATGCCTGAATATTTGATTCTTGATGCCCATAAAGATAAGTCTTGGGCACTGCCCTGGTGTTTATATTTTACAAAAGTATCAGAGGTGATCTTGATGTTACCTCTGATCGAGAAGCACTGCTCTCTGACAACTGTGGAAACCCTAGAGAAATCATGCCTTCTGGCAGGATACCTTGAGATCAGGTGGCCAGAGATTGCTTTAGTATCCCTTATATTCCATTTGGCTCCAATACATAAACTTTTTGACTTCTTTCTTGATCTGTGAAACATTTATTCCAACTTGTAATAAAGCCAAACCCTAAATATATGTCTGTCTTGAACCACATTTCAGATGGAGTGTGATGATCCGTGAGACTCCAAAACAACCCCTGTTGCTAAAAGGACAGATTGAAATGGACATACCGAAATTTGAGGTAACCACTTACCAGCTGTAATTCCAACATCTTTATTATAAGCGAAATAATAAGCAAAGTCCAGAGAGAAACTTTTGTATTTCCATGAGACTGATAAGGATGAGATCATTGAGAATTAGGGACATGGCAGACATCAGCTATTTATTACAAATATGTTAGTTATTGCTGATATAATTCATTCAGCCCTTTACTTATTCATGCATTCAAAATATAGGGTAAATACTATATGTGCGATACTATTCTAGAATCTGTTTGTATATTCTAGTACATAAAGAAGAATGATATAATCTATGTTTTCATGGAAATCAGTCTACCTGAATAGATAGCAAAAATAGTTTTAATAAAGTACTATGAGTGTTAGTATATAAGGAAGTACAAGAACACACAGCAAGTTTATATCAGTCTGGAAGGAGTCAGGGAAAGCTTCTCAAGAAAAAGTGTCATTTCAGAAAAGACCTAAGGACCAGAGAGAGTTAATCAGGAGAAAAAGAAAAGAGGCCATTCCAAGCACATGGAACAACATGTACTATTCTGAAGGCAAGAGAGGACATAGAATATTCAAAGAATGGGGGCATTAGAACCAAGGGATGGAGCATGCAAAGAGAGAGACTAAAGAGGAGGCTAAGGAAATAAGCAGGAGCCAGACCAGGAAGGGCTGGTAAACTGTAATAGAAAGCTTAGAATTTAATACTAAGAACAGTGAGAATTCTAGAAGAAGTTTTATGCTTATTTCAAAACATACAGGGAAGTTGAAATGGTGGTAGATTCTACCATTAATATTTCACTGTACTTGCTTTATCACATATCCAGCCATCTATCCAGCCATCTATCCATTCTGCTATCTAACAGAAGGGTTTTAAGCAGAGAAATTCCATAATGTGTGAGAAATAATTGAAGGAATAAAGATCGGAGGCAAGGAAAAAGGCTAGATGCTAAAATTGTCTAGGCAAGAGATGATGACTATTATTTGAACTGCTAAAGTAGTAACAGGAATGAGAAGTGGACATATTTGAGACATACTGGAAAAATAGAATTATCAGAACTTGGTAGATTTTTAAATGTAGAAAATGACAGACAGGAGTAGAAGTTGTAATTAAGAGTAGAGACTCAAGAGCCAGACTACCTAGAATTGAGAATTGAACTGAAGCTCTGCAACTTACCAATTTCTCCCTGCTTTAATTTTATCTTCTGTAAAATGAGATTAATACATATTTCTTAGGATGGTTACTGAGATTACATGAAAAATGATGTACGCATATATCTGGGAGAGAGCCTGGCACATAGTCATTACTATATAAGTTGATCTGTCATTATTAGTAATATTATGATTTCAGAGGTGACACTCTGAGCCAGGTGTGGTGGGATATGCCTGAATTCCAGCACGTTAGAGATGAGGCAGGAGGATCACTGAGAGTTTGAGGCCAGCCTGGGCTACATAGTGAGTTCAAGGCCAGCCTAAACTACACAGCAATACCCTGTCGCAAAAAAGTCAATCAGTCAATCAATAAATAAAATAAAGAGGTGACACCCGTGGAATGGGAAGATGTGAATTCAAATTCCAGCTCTAATATTTACTAGCTATGTAATATGAGATTGTTTATTTATCTAAAACATGAGGCAAACAGTATGTTCTTCATATGATCTTTAAATTATTAATTTCAATAAGAGAAAATAGAAAACGTTGCTAATTTTAGAGTAACTACAGATCCAAGATTGTCTCTGAGGACATCAACAAGATTTCTTTTTATTCCCCTATCATCTATTTTTTATTTCACTCTCTAAATCATTTATACTTTTGGCCTTCTCATATCAGAGAAACCATGCAATTTCCCCTTCTGTGTCTTATTTGTATCATTTAACATTATAGTCTCAAGGTGCATCCATTTTCCTAAAAATAACTCAAATTTATCTTTCTTCATGGCTGGGATATATATATATATATATATATATATATATATATATATATATATCCATTTATTTACCCATTTATCTGTTGATGGGCATACAGGCTGTTTCCAAGATTTAGCTGTTATGAATTGTGCTGCTATATGGGTATGCATGTATCCCTGTAATATGATGTCTTTAACTCTTTGGGCAAAATACCCAGAAGGGGTATAGCAGAGTCAAATGGAATTTCAATTTTTCATTTTTTGAGGAATCTTCATACTGATTTCCATAGTGGTTTTACTAGTTTACATTCCCACCAGGAATGTAGAAGGATTCCGTTTTTCCCCAAAACATTGCTGGCATTTGATTTTTTTTTATTTGGGGGGAGTACTGGGGAGATGTTTGAGTTCTTCATGATAACCATTCTTTCTGGAATGAGATGGGGTGATAGAATTGTTTTCACTTGCATTTCTCTAATGGACAGAAATAATGAACATTTTTTCATGTAGCTATTGGCCATTTGTCTTTCTTTTTTTGAAAAGTATCTATTCATTTCTATAGCCCGTTGTTTTAAAAGTTTTTATTAGTACATGTTTGCAATTGATGCAGTTTACAATCATCTTGAGAGTGGTTAAATGTACATATTACAGCTTTTTTTTTTAATCCCCTTCCTTTTCCCTCCCCCCTCCTCCACCAATTCCCCTATCCCTTTTTTTCATACTTTTTGACATTATTTGTCTTAGCTCATGTTATGGCATATAGGTTTATATTAATTTGGGTTGATAGGTCCATGTACATGGCATATCTTTATTCTTCTCATTTCCCTTTCCAGTCCTCCTCACCCATCATTCTTGTTCCTTGGACCACTTCCCTATTGCAAGAGGTCCATTCTCTTACCCCTTTCTACCCATCCCATACCATTTTCTTTGTACTATGCCTCACTCAGATGAAAGATAGTATGTGGCATTTGAGCGTCTGTGTCTGATTTATTTCACTCAACATTATATTTTCGAGGTGCATTCATTTTCCTACAAATGTCTCAATTTTATCATTCTTCATAGCTGAGTAATATTTCATTATATACATATCACATTTTGTTTATTCAGTCATCTGTTGATGGGTATACAAGCTGCTTGCAGGATTTAGCTATTACAAATTGTGCTGCTATAAACATTGGTATACATGTGTTGTTTTATTTCCTAATGATTGCCAGTCTTTCCAGAGTAAGATGGAATCTTAGCATTGTTTTAATTTGCATTTCTCTAATGGCCAGAGATTTTGAACATTTTTTATATATCTGTGACCATTTGTATTTCTTCCTCTGTGAAGTGTTTCTTCATTTCTCTTGCTCATTTTTTGACTGGATCTTTAATTTTAGGTGGTTTAATTTTTTTTTTAGTTCTTTATATATTCTAGATATTGGTCCTCTGTCTGAGGAGTAGCTGGCAAAACCTTTTTCCCATTCTGTAGGTTGTTTCTTCACTTTAATGATTGATTCTTTTGCTGTACAGAAGCTTTTTAGTCTGATATAATCCCATTTGTTGATTCTTACTGTTACTTCTTGTGCAATTGAGGTTCTGTTTGGAAAATCCTTTCCTACACCTATAACTTCTATTTTATCTTCCAACAGGTTGAATGTTTCTGTTGTAATGTTTAGTCTTTTGATAGATTTTGAGTTTAATTTAGCACACTCTGAGAGATTAGGGTCCAGTTTCAATCTTCTGCAAACAGATAACCAGTTTTCCCAACACTACTTGTTGAATAGGCTTTCTTCTAACATATGCTTTATGCCCTTTTGTCAAAGATCAGATATTTGAATACACCTGGGGAGGTTTCTGTATCCTCAATGCTGTTCCATTGATTCATGTATCTCTTTTTGTTCCAGGACCATGCTGCTTTTATCACTATTGCTTTGTAGTACAGCTTGAAGTCAGGTATTGCTATGGTGCTTGCTTTGCTCTTATTGCCCAGAATTACTTTTGTTATCCTGGGTCTCTTCTGGTTCCATGTGAATTTTAGAATTGTTTTCTCTAATCTGTAAAGTATGCTGTTGGTATATTGATTGGGACTGCTTTGAATCTGTATAACAATTTTGGAAGTATGACCATTTTAGCAATATTGATTCTGCCTATCCAGGGGCAGGGACATCTTTCCATTTTCTGATGTCCTCTTCAATCTCCTTCATTGGGGTACTGTAATTTTCTTTGTGGAGGTCTTTCACTTCCTGGATTAGGTTAATTCCTAGATATTTCATTTTTGTGAAGCTACTGTGAGTGGTATTGCTTTCAGAATTTCCTTCTCATCCTGTTCATTGTTGGTGTACACAAATGCTAAAGATTTTCGTGTGTTGATCTTGTATCCTGGTACTTTGCTAAAGTTGTTTATTACTTCTAAGAGTTTTTTGATGGAATCCTTTGGGCCTCCTATATAGAGTATCATGTCATCTGCAAATAATGACAATTTGAGTTCTTCCTTTCCTATATGTATCCATTTTATTTCTCTTGACTAATTGCTATGGCTAATGTTCCAAGTACTATGTTGAATAGAAGCAGTGATAGCGGACATCCTTGTCTTGTTCCTGATTTTAGGGGTAATGCTTTTAATTTTTCCTCATTTATTATGATGCTGGCCATTGGTTTGTCATAAATAGCCTTTATCATATTCATATATGATTCTTCTATACCTGTTTTTTTCATGTTTTTTTTTTTGTCATGAAAGGGTGTTGGATTTTGTAGAAAGCCTTTTCTGCGTCTATTGATATGATCATGTGGTTTTTTACCTTGCTACTATTTATGTGATATATTATACTTATTGGCTTATGTATGTTGAACCATCCCTGCATCTCTGGGATGAAACCTACTTGATTATGAAGTATCTTTTTTTTTGATAATGCACTGCTTTCTATTTGTTAGTATCTTGTTGAGGATTTTTGTATCTATATTTATTAATGAGATTTGTCTAGAGTTCTCTTTTTCAGTTGAGTCTTTATTCAGTTTGGGGATTAGGGTAATACTGGCTTCCATAAATGAGTTAGGGAACACTCCATCCCTTTCAGTTTCTTTGAAGAGTTTGAAGAGTATTGGTGATAGAACATCCTTAAAGGTTTTGTAGAA